TGTAGACTTAAGAAAATGATGGTGCAAATGTAATGATGAAGACTAAACTTGAAGGGTATTGTTCCTACACTTCTTTCCCCCAGAGAGCTAGTTGTTAAACATTGAAGAGCATATTCCTGTTTATGCCCCATATCTAAACCAAGTCTTGATTCTATTTCCCTATCTCAAGCTTCAGCTCTCTTCTCTCTAATCCTACAGCCACCATCCTATCTCAGGCCTTCATCACCTCTCATCCTCCTAATTGGTCTCCTTGCCTCAAGTCTTATTTCACCAAAATCCATCCTTCACATAGTTGCTAAATTATTATTCCTAAAGCACAGATCTGATGATGTCAGTTTCCTTGAACAAGTAGCCCATGGTAATATACCAACTCCTCTCTTGGGCATCTTAAGGCCTTAAAGACCTGGTTCCAGCCTTCCTTCACTGGCTCATTAAAAAGGAGGTAATGATACCCTTTTACAGTATCATCCTTGGACCTGGGTATCTCAACACCCTGCCCTGGGTCTTGAGCCTCAGGGTCCTACCCCCCTTTCCCAATCTTTGGAAAATTCTGCTCATTATAGTCTCAAAAAACCTGTGAGGTGAGCCATCATGGTGTAAATCAGGAGTGTCAAGCTTATAACCAACAGACTCAAGTGCCTGCTGAACCAGATTAAAATGTAATTGGGAAAGATTTAACAAAATAAACGAAAATACAATATAACATAATGTTAATTTGTTGTTTTCTAAGTCAACATATGGGGCTAGCAGGAATCTGTTTCTATTTGAGTTTGACACCATTGGTGTAAACCATTTTCCTAGAATATCTTATAAACAACGTTTTGAATGGTTTGGAGGTTGGATGGGAGTGGGATTCACTCTAACCAGCAGTCATGAATGCTACACAGAACTGCAACCTAAGCAGTCACATATGTAGGCTATTATTGCAATCCAAACAGGTTTGAGCACTTATTAGCAACATGGCTGGCATCGATCGCCACAATTCAGTGATTTTTATATGAGGAAGAATTTTCAGGAAAGGTACCAAGCAACTTGAGCCAGATCTTAGTAAATTTTCTTTACAGCAATGACCTAAAGAAACCTGTATTACAATAGTTATCCATGCAATCACTAAAAGGTTAATAGGGTTGATATACATTGTCCAATATTTTATAAGATCATCCAATTTTTCAAGATTCTCTGTCCCAAAAAAAGTTTCTCAGGGTACCAAATTGTCCAGCAGTTTAAGGGTATGTTTTAATGCACAAAGTAGACCAGAGATCAAATGATATTTTATTTCATATTTGAACACTGGAAAGGAGGGACATGCTAAAAATAATTACTTGACAGAAAAATTTGAAATTATGATTCTATTCACTACTCACTATAACTGTATAGTAGACCATTATTTAAAATGTAATTTTGTGATTTGCACCACATTACCCTAAGAGGAGGTCACCAAAAATATAAACATCGTTATTAGCAAAAATCAAAACCCTGAACTTTTTTGAAAAAGTTTTTTAAAAAGCCCTATCTTGGAAACAATGATACTTCAAGAATTTTTGTGAAAACTCATGTGGAAACCCCATCAAACATGCTAATCACCAGTTGTATGGTAATAGAACCGAGACCTTATAATATTGAATTGCCTTATGTATATTTCTGGTACGCCAGTTGCTATGCTAATACATATTATTGAGACAATAAAAGTACCAAATATGAATACAGGTAGATATGAATGTGCTTTAGATGAAGGTTCTAAAGCAGACCAAATTTGCTCAGTTCATTGTTGTAGATAATCAAAAGTAAAGTATTGATATTAACAAAATATACATTTATATTCAGCCCTTTAAAACTATTCTGGACCTCATTTAATGACATCACTCAAAAATGTAGGTGAGAATTTTGAATTCTTTAGAAGAAATTTTTAAAAAGATATTAAAACTTAAAATTTTTTAAATTTAATTTACATTATAACATAATGATAAATTAACATAACTCATGCAGACTCCTGAATTTTGTAATATGTTTTAAAAGTAATTTGTTTATATAGATAGGGGCTCCACATAGAAAAAGAAATTGTCTCTGGGCTTTGCACACATTAGAAGTGGACCTGCTGGCTCATAGCCTCAGGCCTCCTGACTTAAGTCTCTTCTCACTCTTTCCTGCTGGGCTGATGGCAACATCCAGCTTGTAATTCTAACTCTTAAGTGCTTGTTGACTAACTGATGACTATATTCCAGCCAAAGATCAAATGAGATAATGTATATAAAGGACTTTGTAAATTTTAAAGCACTATATAAATACTATTATTATCTAGCCATATTTCTTTCTTCCTCTCTATCTACCTATATCATGAACAGGCAATACATATGGACAATAAGCTAGACCAGAACTGAGTAGGAGGAATGGGACTGGATTGAACTGGTGAAACCACTAAGCATGTTCAATGATCGCAAGCTGTCTGCTGCAAAAGCCCACTTCTTGAACAATGTTTAACCGATGGACTGTGAAACATGGTCTGTGAAACATAGAGTGTCACATTTTTGTAATTAACAAAATTACAAGTAACAATAAAGGAATTCATGGTGGGTGTACATGGGCTACAGCATATTGCCAATGATGACTTACATTCAAGGAATGGCATAAAAGACATTATTGAGTCTATGTATTTCTGGGAAAAGGAGCGGGGCTGGTCATATGAGAAGAATAAGAGACGACAGATAGGCAGTCTGAACCATATTTACTACCCTAGAGATATCAAAGGGCTAGAGAAAGATTTTCAATTGATGGATCTTCTATGAAGGAGTCATGGCAATGCATGGATGAGATGCATGTAAGATGTGATCTGCGCTGCCCTAGTTCTGTCCATCATCACCTCTTGCTTAGCATAATGGGATAGCCTGGTCTCCCCATCTCCAGTCTGTCCCCTCTCCAATCCATTTGACATACAGCTGCCAAAGTAATATTTCTAAAGCCCAGGTCTGATCATGTCAATTTCCTGCTCAATAAATCCAGTGACTCCTTCTTGTTTCTTAGATCCAAAATAAACTCCTTTATTTGACATCTGAAGCCTTCCACAACCACTCACTCTTTCCAAGCTTATTACACACTGCTTTCCTTCACAAACTACAACCCAGCTAAAGTGGTCTTGCTATTTTTCACATATGGCATCCTATCTCTCATCTCCATGCCTTTGATGGCTTTCACTGTCCTTATCAGATCTGTAGGAACTGAAGTGTGATTGATGTCTGCCTCTTTTGCCCTGGGGCAATAGGTTCTTAGGTTAATTCCTATTGTGTAAACTGATGAGGTTAATGATGAGGTAGATGAATACAAATGCACCATCCAACCCTACTCCAGGAATGACAAGAGAATAGTGATCAGACAGATAGTTCAGGGATGAAAGGACCAGTTGGTCATGCTCTACCCCAAGTTCTTTCCCTGTCCTACATCCATTTCTGATTCAGTCACATGATACTCTGCTTTAGTGGAATTTTCAAGAGCCAGACTCTCATTACTAGTGGTATGTATAATGGTATATGTACATGAACACAAATACATGTGCGGGAGATAACATAAAGAACAATGGAGAGGTAGGCACACTGGCTTTTAGTAAATGAATGAGTGAAAAGGCTATGGATATTGCCCAGAAGTAAAATGAAGTCTGGCCACATATATATGGGTCAACTGGGGAGTGGTTATAGATTTATAGGGAAACCTTAGAAATCATTTAGTCCAATTTCCTAATTTTTCAAATAAGGAAGTTGAGACCCAGAGATGATGAATAACTTTTTTTAAAATTACCAAGTTTTTTCAATTATTATTTTTTCCTCCCTCCTCGTCTCCCTCCCCCATACATACTAGAAAAAAAAAAGGAAAACAAACCCTTATAACACATAAGCATAGTAAAGAAAAACAATTTCCACATTTGCCATGTCTAAAACTATGTATTCTGCATGTTAATCCATCATCTCTCTGTCAGGAGGTGGGTATTATTCTTCATCATTGGTTCTCTGGAATAATGATTGATCATTATATGAATCAGAGCTCTTAAGTCTTTCAAAATTATTCATTTTTATAATATTGATGCTAAAGTATAAATTATTCTCCTGGTTCTGCTCACTTCATTTTAAATCAGTCCATATGTCTTCCCAGGTTTCTCTGAAATTCTCTCTCCATATTTTATAGCACATTGTGTTCTTTTTTTTTTTTCAAGGTGGAAAGCAAAGGTTACCTTTATTACAATCTCGCGAGATGGCTGTCTGCTCCTCCGATACACGTGGAGAGAGAAAGAGAGAGACTGGCATAACCTCGGCCCGCCTTATAAAAGCAATTCTCCGCCCACCACGCAAAGTCTCCACCCACTACGCAAACAAGTCTCCACCCACCGCTATCCCTTGCTCCCTAAGTGGGGGTGGGCTTACATTCTAACTGGGAGGTGGGGCTTACATTCTAAGCTCGAAAGTTTCTTCCTATCCCCTTAACTGGGAGGTGGGGCTTACATTCTAGGCGCGAAATTCAAAGACAAGGAAAGAGGCCAGAAGCCAAGGGCAAACGGCTCAGGTTGGGGGTGAGGCAGGACTTATTCTTTCTGTTAAGTGCTTAAAAACAGGGTCTGAGTGGGGGAGGATTTTGAAAGTCGTAATCAAGAATTATTTGACCCTTTGATGCACATTGTATTCTACTACATGAATATATCGTAATTTGTACAACCATTCCTCAATTGATGAGCATTTCCTTAGTTTTCAGTTCTTTGATACCACAAAAAGAGCCACAAATATTTTTGTAGATGTAGGACTTTTTCTTCCTTATTTGATCACTTTGGGTATAGGTCTAGTAGTGCTATTACTGGATCAAAAAGTATATGCAATTTAGTAACTTTTGGGAATGGCAGCTTTCCAAAATGGTTGAACCAATTCACAGCTCCACCAACAATGTGTAAATTCCTGTTTTCTCATAGCCCTTCCAACATTTTTCATTTTCTTTTTTGGTCAGCTTTGGTGATCCAATGGGTGTGAGGTGGAACTTCAGGGTTGCTTTCATTTTCATTCTCTAATTATTCTTGATTTGGAGCATTCTTTCTTATGGCTACAGATAGCTTGGACTTTTTCTCCTGAGAACTGCCTGTTCAGACCTAGGCATCCTGCAGCAGAGGGAAGGCACTAGTATTCTGGTAAAAGTTTCTTGAAGAAGATGGGACTTTAGCTGAGACTTGAAGGAAGCCAAGGAGACTAGCAGTCAGAAACGAAGAAGGGGAGAGTTCCAGGTATAGGGGCCCACGAGTGAAAATGCCTGAAGTCAGGAGATGAAGCTTCTGGAATGAAGAACAGGAAAAAAGTCAGTGTTACTGAATCTCAGAGTATATGGTGGGATAAAAGGTCTAAGAAGACAGGAAAGGTATGAAGGGGCCAGTCAATGAAGGGCTTCCAAAGGCAAACAGGGATCTATATTTCATCCTGGAGGCACTAGAGTTGATTGGATGGGGGTGAGGGTGATATGGTTAGAATTGGCTTGAGAAAGATCAATCTGACAGCTAAGCAGAAGATGGATTGGAATGGGGAGACACTTAGGGCAGGAAGATCAACCAGCAGCCTATTGCAATAGTCCAGGTCTGAAGTGATGAAGGTCTGCACCAGGATGGTGGCTATGTCAGGAAAGAGAAGGGGCATATATGAGAGATGTTATGAAAGTAGAAATGACAGGATTTGGCAACCACTTGGATATGGGGAGGGGGTGTCAGAGAGAGTAAGGAGGCCCTCGCCTAGGTTGAGAGCTTGGGTGACTGAGAGCATGGTAGTACCCTTAAGAGTAATAGGGAAGTTAGTAGTGGGGGAGGGCTTGAGGGAGGGATAGATAATAGGTTTCATTTTGGACATGTTGAGTTTAAGATTTCTATGAGGCATCCAGTCTGAAATGTCCACTAGGAAGTTAGAGATGCAAAACTAGATTCCACAGGCCACTAGATTCCACCATACCAAGCTCTTTTACCTGGGAAAGGGGAGAGCTAGATATATAAATCAAGTTATCAGGTTTCTTTGTTATCCTACCACCATAAACAGCTGACCAGGACAAAAGACTGAGCTGGGCATTTCATTTTTGCTTCGTAAAGACAAGAAGAAAGTGAGGACAGAAGAGAAGTCCGGGAGGGGAGGTGCAAAAATTACTCTTTTGATCTGGTTGCACAAGGGGAAGCTATGACCCAAGACCACTTGCAACATACAGAAGAAACAAGTTTGGAGAAATGAGAACTCTTTGCTCCAAGGATGCCCTTTTAAATAAGGTGACCTTAAGTAGACATTGAGGTCACTCTGGGTATTAAATATATTCCTCCATCACAAGGTCACTTGATCATTCACCATTTAGCATGCTTTCTCCATTCACAATGAGACAGAGTCAACAAGAGAATAAATTTTTAATTTTCTCTAGGAATCCTGGATGGAAAGGATGATAGATAGATAGATAGATAGATAGATAGATAGATAGATAGATAGATAGATAGATAGATAGATAGATAGATAGATAGATGATAGAGATAGACAACCAGAGAGACAGATATGGATATATGTATCTGTGTATTTACAGAGCTGAAAGTGCACACAGATGACCTTTAGTACAGACCCTCATTTTATTAAAATTCAGGGAAAGTTAGAGATTTTCCCCAAGTTCACACAGGTAGCAAGTAACAGGGCCGGATTTAAACAAAGACCCTGAGATTCAAATCAGTCCTCTTTTTATTGCACCATGCATCATCTTCTTCAATGAATAAGACTAATGATCCTTAATCCTTAAAAGCCAAACTGGCCAATCCAGGAAGTATCCTATGATAGTATATCAAATATAGCTTTCTTCTACCCAAAAAATCAATTGCAATTTTGTACCCCAAGCATTGAACCAAAGAACCATGAAACCTGGGTTTGAGTCCAGTTCTGATACTTAATAGCTGTGTGAACATGGACAAATTGCTTCATCTGTCTGAGCCTCACTTTGCCCATCTGTGACACGGGTATAACAATCTTTCCCCAAACAAGATTGTTTTGAGGAAAGAGTTTTATTATTCCAACTGACACATAAATGGCCGGAAGTATAACTAGCTGGTCTTGCTAACCTTGTTAAGAACACCAGCAAATTCTGTCCTTTTAGTCATCCTGGTAAAGACTGGACCATTGGCGAGTTCTTTTCCTTCTTACTCTCCCAGTAAATCAGCCCTGTAAGGTCAGCTCTTTGAATCAGGAACTGAACACTACAGACCGCAGTAAGAGCTCCCTCTTGTGTTGGTAAAGGAAAGGGCAAGCTTTGGTGACTTTCTATTGTTTTGAAGCATTCTAAGGAAATATAGGGACCTCCAGAATTCTAGAGGGGCAGCAGAGTATAGTGTAAAAAGTGCTGGATTTGGAATCAGAGGACCTGGGTTCAATCATGGCTTGGTCCTGTGTGACACTGGATAAGTCACTTAAACTCTCGGGGCCTCAGTTCCTTCAACTATAAAATGAGGGGTGTTGAACTCAGTGGCTCCTGAGGCTCTTTCCAGCCCTAAGTCTAAAATTATGATTCTATTACTATTAATGGCAACTTTTTAAAGTCCCAGAACTAGCCAGTAAGAGAAGGACTAAAGAGAAAAAGACTTGGACTGGCCTCCTTATTTAAGAGGATCAAATGCAGTATGTCACCTAGGAAAGTCCTGGGTTTGACTTTTAACCCTTCAGGAATGTATTCCTCAGCTGCCTAAACATTCCTCTCTGATGTGTTTTTTTTTTTTACTTCACAGGGTCCTTACTTTCCCTCTATTCTTCCCCCAATTTTTTTCTTTGTATTTTCCTTCCTTTCTTCCTTGCTTCTTTCCTTCTTTCCCTCATTCCTTTCTTCCTTCTTTCCTCCTCTCCTCTCTCCTTCATTCTCTTCCTTCCTTCCTTTTTCTCTCTTTCTTTTTCTCTTCCTTTCTTTTTTTCTCTCTCTTTCCTTTTTCCTTCCTTCCTCCCTTCCTCCCTCTTCACCTCTCTCTCTCTCTCTCTCTCTCTCTCTCTCTCTCTCTCTCTCTCTCTCTCTCTCTCTCTCTCTCTCTCTTTCTCTCTTTGTGTCCTCCTCTTTCTCTAGGAAAGCGTTAAAGTACAGACTCCAAACCAGACTGTATCTTTGGTCCAAACGCCAGCCTAATCTTGCAGACAGGCTCTGAGGCCAGAACTCAATCCAAGATACCACCATAGTTGCTTAAAAGGTGTTTACTTGATTGGATGATGTTTTTAAACAGCACTTTGGAAGCCATTTTCTGAGAGAAATATTATGCATTATCTTGAAGGAGGACTGCTTCTACCAATCACTGAAGTAATTTTCCTGTAGTTTTCCCTTTTCTAGAATAGTTAGAAATGCTGAGATTGGAAGCAATTTCAGCAGGTGTTCCTTTATTTCTACTATTCATAACTCACTAGTGGCCTCTGAGGGGTTTGTTTAAACAGGGTGAAAAGGGGTTAATTTGCTCATACACTGAATGTACCTGAATCTTGGCAAACAGAAGAACTATTTATTTAAACCTAAGTGGAGCTTCAGATAGCTAATCAGCTTATGCATGATGATCCTGTGGGCTTTTGATTGTACCCAGGAACAAAGCTAGACTCATGGAGAAATTGGTTTTTAAAGTGATAATTACATAGAGTGAAGTAGGTTTATGGAAGTGTTTCCAAATGTCCCCCTCTTCAGTCATTTCTTTTTCTTATATAATCCTCCTTGTGTCCCCTCTTTGAAACAAAAACAAACAACGTCCACTCAGCTCTGCTGCTCTCTGCCCTCAGAGCTGGAAGGGATCCATTGGAGGCCATCTGGTCCAAACCCTTCCTTTTTACAGATGAGGAGACTGAGGATTAGAGAGGAGAAGCCACTTGCCAGGGGTCACACAGCTGGCACGTGACCAAAGCAAGATGTGAACTCTAAATCCAGCTTTCCACAGTGCCACTCAGTCTTCTCCCAAGCAGCCCATTGGCAGGCTGAGAGGCCCTACTCCCTAAGGTCAGATAATAGATTATCTTCTTGGTTGAGACTCAGCCAAGTCAGTTACTTCTTTTTACATTCATGCTCTTCATCTATTCAACCAACATAATTCACCAAATAGTTATTAAGCACCTGCTGTATAGAGAGCACAGTGCTAGGTGATGAAGGCAAGTCCAAAATTTGGATAAAACGATCCCAAGATTGATTCTCTGCTCTCCTGGAGTTTATTTCCTGCCAGGGCAGCACTATGGGCTGAATCTACTAAGATGACATTTAATAAGGATAGATTTAAAGTTCTACATTTTGACTAAAGAAAAATCAACCTCCCACTGGAAGCATAGCTAAACAAGAGCTCTTCTGAGAGAGATGGTGGTATCAGTGGGTCGCCAAGTCAATACGAGGCAACAGTGTAATCTGGAAGCCAAAAAATATACTGCAATATTGGGTTCCCTTAAGAGAGGCAGAATTCCAGGAGCCAGAAGCTGACGATTTTGCTGTTCTCTGCCCAGATTAGACAATACCTGGAGCATCAAGTTTGGTTCCAAGGAGCACACTGAAGAGACTTTGATAAACTGAAGGGCATCCAAAAGGGCGTAACCAGAATGGACTTTGAGTCTGTGCCAGATGAGGACCAGTTGAAGGCATTTGAATAGTGTAGCCTGGAGAAGAGAAGGCTCAGGGAGAATGATAGGCATCTTCAAGTACTTGGAAGGCTAGCTTTGGAAAGAGGGATTTGGGCTCGTATTATTTTGCGCCAGAGGGCAAGACTATGAGCAATGGGTAAAAGGTGCCAAGAGGTTGTTGTTATGGTTATTCATCCTTCATTTTGGAAGAGATCAGTAATATCACTTGGCGGTGAATTAGATTTAAGTGAGGCAGAGCTGTGCAAAGTCATCAGCCTCGCTCTGTCCTCCAGAGTCGTCAGAGTTCAGTGACAAGACAAAAGTCAAGAGGATTGGCAATGGCCCAGGATGTAGCGGATGACCTTGGCCTTCCTAAATTAAGGTCTTTCCCAGGTCTCAGTTTGTTTGAGGCAATGCCTGTTAAATGACTAAGGGCTAGGTAAGAATTGAGACAAAAGATGACCTAATTTACCATCACAAAAAATATCAATCTGGGAGAGTGAGACCCTCAAAGTTTCTGGCCAGAACATACACACACACAAAATTGGTTTTAAAGGAGTCCAATGATTCTCTAGACAAGTCCAATGTGTTTCAAGTGGAGCTACTTGCCAAGAAGCAAATTTAGCCTTGATGTCTGGGAAACTCCATAACAAGTAGAGCTATCCAGAAATGGAGTGGGCTGTCTCAGGAAGTAGTGAGTTACCCTTCATAG